GAATCATGCAAGCGCTAGTTGAGTCGCAAATCAGTTAAACGTGAGTCCAAGTCGAGTCATAAGTCAGTTAAGCTTGTGTCTGGTTGTGTCACAAGTCAGTGAAGTCCAAGACTGAGTTGAGTCGCAATCAGTTAAGTGCACAAACTAGATGGCCAATGAGAAAAAAAGCCACTTAAACGTGAGTCTGAGTCAAGTCATGAGTCCTGTAAGTGCAAGTCGAGTCTCAAGTCACGAGTCATGAGTCACATAAGCGCGGGTCGAGTCGCAAGTCGCTTAAGCATGAGTCCAAGTCGAATCATGAGTCACGTAAGCGCGGGTCGAGTCGCAAGTCACATAAACGCGAGTCTAAGTCGAGTCATAAGTCAGTTAAGCTCGTGTCGAGTCACAAGTCATGAGTCACGTAAGTGCAAGTCACTTAAATGGGAGTCCAAGTCGAGTCGTGAATCATGCAAACGCTAGTTGAGTCGCAAATCACTTAAACGTGAGTCCAAGTCGAGTCATGAGTCAGTTAAGCTTGTGTCTGGTCGTGTCACAAGTCAGTGAAGTCCAAGACTGAGTTGAGTCGCAAGTCAGTTAAGTGCACATCTGAGTCAAGTCACGAGTAATCTACTGTATTTAGTAATCTTCATTATTATCGCTCTCTGCTATAATGATAATGAACAGGCATGAACAGGACCTGAGGTCTCTTAACTCGACATAGTTTGAGTGTGTGATGATTTAAGAGTACAGTTTGCTACTGAGTGTACATAAGCTTTCATTCCTTGTTAGCTACATTAGCCTCATAGCTCCAGTACAAAAAGAAGCAAACTTCACACACCAAACACGCCTCGGCTGATTGATCACATGTGGGGAGAAAAGTGTCTAAATCTGAATTTTGGCTGTGCTATCATGTCCTTGTGGTCTCTGTGAGATGCCAGATCTAGAGGGTCTAGATGGTCTAAGTTTCCAACATTTTGATGACGGACAGAATCAGATACTTTCTCTCACAAAGACCATGAGGGCCAGAACAAGACATAAGGAAATCATTTTTTATCAAGTTTGAACGTCAATGTTGAACGGTTTGCGTCATTCCTCAAAGGTATGGCTCAAAGTGAGAAGGCTTTAGCAGCCATCAAATGAAGGAAGAAACTTTCTGAAGTTTAAAATTCTCTAACTCTTCTGAAGTTTCAAGCCAAATGATGAAGTCTGAGGAAAGAGACTCATCCGTAACTCATCTACACCTACTGTCTAACATAAACAGCCCCCCGGTGACTCATCTGTTGGCGCAGACAGCTCTGACCGCGCTTCCAAACAACCTTCTCAGAAATGCTGAGGAACTTTTGCACAAACATAAAAGGAGGATTATGCTTGTAAGAGCTCATTGGCAGAAAAGGTTTATTTATTTGCCTGGAGACGGAGGGAAACGATCGGCGTGAGAGAGAAAAAATTGTTAATTTATCTTCTTTTCATCATGATTTTGTTTTATTAGTGTTGTAATTTACTGCTTTGGCGAGATTAAAATTCTTTTTAATGTTTATTATTACTTTTTATTACCTTTTTATTTTCTTTCTTACTCAGTGTATATATATATATATATATATATATATATATATATATATATATATATATATATATAGTAAAGACAGTTGTTCTATATAGAACCATGAACACTCAAAGACCTGCATGCTTAAAGGGTTCTCTGCATGGTGAAACATTCAGATTGATGGAGAATGAGTTGTATATGGTTGAAAAGGGTTCTATTTTGGGTTCATTTTGAAAAGGGTTCTATATAGCACCGAAAAACGTTCTTCTATTGTTACAAGCTTGACATCATAATTATAGAGGAGCTTTTTTAACACTATATATGCTATATAGAGCTATTTCCAAAGGTTCTATATAGAACCATTGTCTTTACTAAAGAACCCCTGAAGAACAATCTTTTTGAAGAGTGTATATAAACACAACTAGCATTAAAAATAATAAAAATCTTAAATATTAATGATAATATTAAAATTTTCAAGTTGTAATGTTATTACTCGTCATAGACTTTGACGGGCTGGGTGTCGTTCTGTTTTTATCCAGCGGGTGGCACTAAAACAGAGTTGATGAACCTGTGAAGGGTTTAGTGCGCTGTTTGAAGCCATTGTATTCTGCTCTGTGCTATTTATCCAAGGCTAAAACCTGTGTAAATAAGATAAATCAGAAATAATCATGTTAAGAACATATTAAACCTGTTACGACAGTCTCACCCTTGCCCTGTGGGGGTCATAGGTCACCTGGACACCCTTAACAGCTTAAATGACCAGCAGAGGTCAAGGTATAGGGCCCAATGATGGGGACATTTGACCCTGGTGGTTTGCAATGTGTGTAAAAGCAATGTAGTGAAACAGACAAGTAACAAGGTAACACACCACCCAATATGACACAGGCTGACCAGAATTTCAGTCATTCTAAATTTGTATCTAACTTACTTATTTAAAATGTATGAATATGTTAATGTGTGTCATCATCTATCCTGTTGGATTCTTTGAATTTTCAGCATCACTTAAATGGAATACTTTATAATCAGACTTAAAGAAAAGGTCCTTCAAGGGTTCTTTAGAAAAGGCAATGGTTATATTCAGTCGTATCAGAAGACTGGGTGTTCCTGGTCAAATTCCATGTTTTGTTGATTTCCTGAGTGAAAATAAGTTTCACATCCTCTCCTGGAAAAAAACAAACAAACTTAAAAATAAAATATGGCTGATGCAAAAGTTACAGTAAATTTTATATATATATATATATTATTTTTTATATATTTTTCCCCATATGTTAATCTAAACAAACTCAACTTACAATACATATATATATCAACTTACAATATATATATATATATGCTGTCGTTCTGACAGCATCTTGTATCTCCAAAATGGTAACTTTACAGGAGAAGGAAAAAACAAACTCCATTTTTAATGTAAG